ACCTCTCGACGGAGAACTAAAAACAACAGCTCTCAGAAAGCAACAACACACATCGCGCTCAAGACAATCACCAAGACAAACGACCACAGCAAAACCTAATCACAGAAAGTACCTCACCACACCAGCGTATGCACGGACACACAACCATAATAACTAATACCCCTCCACTGTTCAATATAAAACAATCCAAAACCCAAAGATTTAAAGGGGCCAATATTACCAATGGCTTCAAGGACAGAAATCATAGCAACAACATCCAACCCAACAGAATGGGGGGGGGGGTTCAGTAAATCTACTACACTACTCATCACTCCACCATCAATCACAAATGTGAACTCCGCGCATCTAAAAACCTCCCCTCAAAGAGACAATAGGCCTCGACTGATAAATGAATAAAAAAAATTAACAGGCACACAAACTATAGCCGTCATCACAAGAAAACAAAAATTCATAACACTGCAAACAGGATGACATATAAACTAAAAACAACAAAGAAAGATGAAAATCCACAATATTCACAGACAAATAGAAACGCAACAAGGAAGTGCTGAGTTCCGCCAACGCTTTACACTCTCTTTCAGACCTCTCACTTCAACGCTTTACTCACTAAAACCACACAGTATCGTAAAAGACAAAGAGGGACCACCTCACTACCAAAATATAACAAAAGGATGAAAGCCACAAAAGTCCACACCAAAGAAAGATAAGAATAACACACATACTCCATATACCAAGAATTATACAAGCCAACCCAACTTATAGGTGCCACCCAGATTCAAAAGCAAACCTTAACTAGACTAGCAAAAAGGATTAATAACCAACTCCATAATCGCCGGAAGACTATTCAAACAAACCCCACTGAACGGCACGGAGACAGATAACCATCCAACACAGAAAACATATAATAAAAGAAAACAATAAACTGGACTAACAACCCAAAAAACTCTAGAACAACATATGGGTACTGACAGAAAAATCTACCACGACACATACTACAAAATCCCCCACAAACATAACAATAATACGTTCCTCCCAACCTCACGAACAATAACATATATAAAGCATATACGTAACTCATAACCCTCTAGGACAACACCAAACAACGAAAATCTCAGGGAAACCTAATTTAAGAAAAAACTAGGAACAATCAAACAAACCATGTACCTTCTCAGATCACAGATGGAAATAAAAAACTAGAAATCAACCACTAACAGAAACTCACATTTCTACACAAAAAAACGTGGAAAATTAAACAAACACTTCCCTAAAAACCTAAATGATTACTTCGCTAAACACCATGGGGAAAGAAAAATCAAAAGAACGGAAATAAAAACCTTCAATGAAAGAAAAACACACACAAAATGGAGAGACAAACACACAAGTATATCAACCTCCATCATGGCGACACAGCTAAAGGCAAGAATATCTGGAAAGAAAGGTTAACTCACCACAATCCAATACAAAATTGCTAACCTAACACACAAAGACACACAAAGAAAGATCCCACAACTAACCAACTCAAATCTAATGCACAAACACCACATCTCCTCT